CATGCAGCTGCAGATCATCAGACTAGAAAATAATAGCTACCTTTCGCCTAACCAACAAATATCCAATGTAAGGCAACGTCACCTTCTCTCATTAGTTAATGCAAATCAGATGGACAACCAGTGGCAGTTGCATGGGAATATTCTGTGAGTCGGATTCCTGGTGCGTGCGTACTGTGAAGAGTCCCAAACTACGACGAAACAGCTGTCCAGTACTCCTAGGTTTTCCAGATATTCACTCAGCTTACATTTCCCGTTGTATCCTGTACTCGTCAATCTATATTAGCTGGCTTCACGACTGTCCATAAAACTTCGTTTTCTCATCACGTCCTCCTCGAAGTGACGTCTAACTGTTCGCTCATCATTAGGGCTACAGTCGAGAGTGAGGAGTATAGTGCCACTCATCAGTATCTACAGTGGAGGACCAAACAAGCTTCATTCCGTCCAGCGCGTATATGTTTGAGCAATGGGATGTCTGCTGATTTGTTAACAGATCGCCTTGCTAATCATCTTTTCTGGACAAATGTATTTCAGCACGAAAGTCATCGGAATCATATAACAGTCGGAATTATTTATTTTGAGCCAGTGACTGCAGAATTCGTGTTCATGAATGGATGACTTCCAACCTTATCACACAGCTTCATCCTCTTTTCTTAAGTGTTTGTCCTCCGACAAACAATCAGATATGTTCACTTATGACTTAAGTTCCTGACGTTTCGCATTACAATGTGCCTTGGTCGTAGAGGAATAGACATTTATTTATTTTGTTTATTTAGTTATTTTATACACTTTTACTTCGCAGCTTAAATAAAGAGAGATTCGATTAATTTTACGTTACGTCATCATTGAACAAAGCCTGAAATGGCAGTCACCTCTCTATCTCAACTTCATCGACTTTGAAAAAACCTTCAACAGCGTCGATCGAGAGGTGCTTTGTCGACTACTTCGCTACTACGGGGTGCCACCAACAATTATACATCTCATCCAACAGCTGTACGACAATGCTGCATGCCAAGTAATCCACAACAGGAAACTCACGGAATTCCTCGAAGAAGTGAACATCGGAGTAAGATAAGGCTGCCTACTATCGCCAATGATCTTCCTGATTGCAGTAGACTGGATAATGCAACAGATAGCGGGAATAAGGAAACAGGCATAAAATGGACCCTCACGAAAAACTTGGAGGATCTGAACTACGCCAATGATATATGTCTGATTTCCCACAAACTGGGAGATATGCAAGCGAAAAGCAACAAGTTGGCAGAAGAAGCACCAAAGATAGGACTTCAGGTGAACATTGAGAAAACAGATGTAGGGGATGAAGATTCCTGGACAACACCACCAACACCAACAACAACAACAGACAACGATCAGCCAGCATAAATGGGAGGAACCTGAGGGAAACAACCTCCTTTATGTACCTGGGAAGCATCGTTTCAACCACAGGCAGAACTGAAGAGGATATCAAAGCAAGGATCGGAAAAGCAAGACAAGCTTTATTACTCTCAAGTCTGTATGGAGGTCAACACTCAGCACTCAGCATCAAAAATAAGATTCAGAATTTCAACTCCAATGTGAAGTCAGTGCTACTTAACAAACGGATCAGAGACTTGCACTGCGCGTCATAAAGAGCATCTCAAACAAAGTACAGACCTTTATTAACAGCTGTCTTCGCTCAATACTCAAGATCAGATAGCTGTCCAGAAATGATCAGCAACAGGGAACCGATTGTGAAACAAATATGCAAAGGAAATGGAGATGGATTGGCCATACTCTGAGGAAACCATTAAGTGACATCACTAGACAAGCCATTGCTCGAATGGAACCCGGCCAAAAGGGAATAGGCGAGTTGGTCGTCAGTACGAGGGTGACTTGGAGGAGGTCATGTGAAGAGGAGATGAAAGCATGTGGGCAGACTTGGATCCAGGTGATAACTCTAGCAGAGAACTGAATGCAATGGAGACGCGGGGCTCAAGACCTATGTTCCTCTAGGAATTAAGGGAAATAATAGTACTACGTCATCAGCAAACATCAGTTAGATTGACCCTCAAAAGCAAAGAATACTGAACAGCTGTTTTGTCCTTATTTGAGACTTTTCACTTGCGCGAATTGGCAGCTGCATTCAAGTGGCTGACTAGCGAATGGAGTCGTCCCGTGCAGATAAAGTGTAGCAGGCTTTCACGAGACAGCTCTTCGTTACTATTTGATTTTGGGAAGTTCTCTTACTGATGTTAATTCCTGATCTGTTGTTATTATTATCCCCCTTGGGTTCCTATTGGAACATGATACCTCAAGAGCACATCTTTACTTTGTCCGATTCCGTACAGTCCTCTTCAAATGTCCCCACGAATGTCCATATGCTCTCATCTCTCCGTCACACTGTCACCTCCATGTCAAAGTTGGATGCTCAATTCATTGTTTCCCATTCGAGTCCCACTCAACCTATGGCTTGGCGTACGATGTTACCCAACGGTCTCCTCAGTAGGCATCCTATCCATCTCCACTTACTTCGACATATATGGTGAGCGGTAGATTCTTGGTCTTCAATAAATCGTGAAGTCGGCAGGTCATGATAAAAGTCTGCAGTAGTTTGTTGGAAATACTATTTCTCACAGTCCAAGCTTCTGACCCATATAAAAGAACTAAATAACTTTACAGTGGTGTTGAATATTCGAGCTCTTTTCCCAGTGTTGAGTACACAAGATTTCCATATGTATTTTAGGGTTCTATAGGATTGCCTTTAATTTACGACCCTGGTCTCAACATCTTCATCCGTGCCATATGTAGTTCCTGTCAAAATAAGTGAAATAAATGACCTCTTTCAGATTTCTTGCATTGATGGTAGTGATTCGTGGTTGCTGGTCAGTGATCTTCATCGTTTCTGTCCTGTCTATGCTTAGTTAGAGTCCTATCATTGCTGCGTGCCTCTCCTACCCATTTACGCTTGTAAATCTTCGAGACTGCATGAATTCATACTATCGACAAGTAGATGGAATAGCTATAGGTTCACCATTAGGCCCAATATTAGCTGACTTCTTTCTCGCAAAACTTGAAAACGGGAAATTGAAGGACATCATCAAAGAGTTTGATATGTATTATCGATATGTCGATGATACATTTATCTTAGCTGACGAGAATGTTAATATAGACGAATTGTTGCTGAAATTCAACAACATCCACCCTTCGCTTACCTTTACTTGTGAAGAGGAGCAGGAGAATAAACTACATTTCCTGGATGTCTTGCTAAGTAGGCAAGAAGATAGGTCACTTAGGAGAAGCGTGTATAGAAAAAGCACATTCACTAGGCAATACACACTTCCCTAGTTATGTGCCCATTAAATATAAAAGGAATGTTGTAAAGCGTCTTGCGAGCAGAGAAACAAAGATTTGTACGGATGACCTCTTACGAAGGGAATTTGAATATATTCACGATTCCTTGATGAAGATGGGCTATCCGATTAGCTTCATAAAGAAGCACATGAAAACATCGGAGAAAAAACCGAAGACTCTTACTGCACGTAAGAAACCTCTATTTATTAAGTTACAATTTAATAGTAACTTATCAAGTGAGATTTTATCCCAGAGAACTTCCAGGAGTATACGAAGAACGTTTTACGCAGCATACCTATATTTGTTATTCTCTAGGCAACGGATGATTGGGACGCAAACGAAGGATAAGCTGGATAGGCTTGCCACATCTATGTGCATTCATCAATTCGACTGCACCTGCGGTGACAGTTATGTCGGGCGTACTACTACACAGCTTAGCCAACGTGTTAGTGAACATCTCCCATCGTCGTTTGGCAAAGCACAGACAAAAACAATCCGTAGCTCAATTTTGTTACACTTAATTGATAGTGATTATGAAAGCCTTCAGAGTAATTCATCGTACCCCCCCTGAATCTTTCCAAATGGACTTCGTATTCGTCTGCTGCACACAGCTGAGGTGATGGGCATTCGAACTATTAAACCTAAACTATGCATTCAAAAGAAGTTCGTACAGCTATTATCCCCCCTTTGGCCTATTAAGACATAACCAACTAATGACTTCTACACCACCCTTTGTTTATACTTTCAATCCCTTTCTTATCATCCCTTAATCTCATCTTCATTACAAACGTGTTTCATCTCCTTCCCTTACAATCTAACATTACTTAATCGGTTCATTTGCTTTAACTAGCCTTTATTCACTACTTCCACCTGAACACTTGTTTGTTTAATCATGCTGTTTTTCATTATTCGTGTTATCACAAATTACCTCTTTTTTTCATCCTTATTATTGCCAGAACCATTATTATTATTACCATTACTACTATTATGACTAATTACACAATTTATATTCACCATCTTATTATCCTTTAGACAAAACACCATGATTGGTTTATATTTGAATTTTTATTTGTAAAGTTATACATATTAGAGTTAAGCCTGTTGAGATCTAATCGAAAACAATATTATTCGCTTAAGTGTGTTGTTCTAAATTTTACTATGGGAATATTTAAGATGTTGAAATCTCGTGGGGATCCTATTGCATGAAATTAGACGTAAATCGTCAGCTAAGTCCAGAACTTCTACAGTCTTATTACTGGTCAGACGTATTCCTGTCTTCTTCCCCACCCTTGAATCGTCTCCCACATAATCCGCCTCACCGCACTTAGAAATATAATCGGTGATAGCAGGCAGCCAGCCTTGTCATATTCCTGTCTGCACTTTAAAAGCTTCTCAGAGTTTTCTTTATGAGGGTTAGTGATTTAACACGAGATAAATATTTAAGTGTTACTTGGCTACTCATAAGTAGTTAAACGCATATAACTAAAATTCTATTCCACTACTGGCTGAATATCAATAGACTATAAAGTTTGTTATCTCAAAGCACATTCTGAACGTGCATAGATGATCAGTGCATGAAACGTAAAGCATAATCAAACATATGATAATAAAAGACAGAAAATTTTTCATCCGTTAGACAGAGAGAAAAGAAATATATCAACAATGCAACTTTATACTGAGTATATGTAAGTTTTATTTTCATTTTTATGTTCATATAATATGCAAAAATGTGTCACTCTTTGCGATTCCATCATTGTCTTTGTCTTCCTTCTCTTCTGTTACATTTAAAATGTTAGCAGATTGGTGTAGTTAAGTTCAGTTCAGTTTAAGTTAGGCTCAGTTCAGTTTAGAATGTGAAAGCATTAGCAATACCCTGAATCCAATCGAGATAATCTGAAACACGTGTATATACTCCAGGGTAATTAGCATTCCCGCATCCGTAACCAAACGAGATAATTCCACTAACGATCCATTGGTGATTATTTTTACACATTAATGGGCCACCAGAATCAAACTGTCAATAGAGAAGAAGATAGAATGAAGAATAAAAAATAAAATGGTACAGATTACAACTTTCTAAAATATCCTCATTGAATCATATTACTACGATGCACCTTCAACGTATACTCTAGTTTCAACAGAGAAACATGCAGGCAAGTAGATGCAGTAGCAATGGGTTCTTTCCTGGGAATCCTCCTGGCTGACTGCTTTACGGCTAGCCTAGATACGTCCACTTGTAAAACGCGCGTGGGAACACTAATCCAGCATGGTTAGCGAAAGGAGAACACAAAGGAGTATACAGTTCGATAACGGAACATCTGGTGAATTCCAGACATCCAGTCCTATTTGAAAAGTCCTTCAAAGCTATATACAAGATCCAATCAAACCTACCAAATGGAGTGAGATCAAGACATCTAGGAATAGCTGAAGCGCTTGCGACCCAGAAACTCAATCCCACTCTCTATGTCCTCAAGAAATTCGTTCAACCGTTGTCCCCACCATGGACATCATAAAACGTCACTCTCACCAGTAATGATTATCCTATTCCCTTTCTTTTCCAACCCTCCCGTTTATTTGTTATATTTACCTTTTAAATGCCTATCTGCCTTATTAGATTTGGTCACTGTTTTTATTTTTATATGTCCGAACCTCCTACCCATTTCATTGTTACTACATCTTTAACCCATAATTGTGCAAACTGGAATTTTCCAGTAATTATAATCCTATTTTGTCTTTTCTACCTGGTCTTCCTGATTATTACACATTGTAATTTTGTTTAATTTCACCTTTGGTCTGAAATATTTCTAGAATAGTGCCAGTACCTGTCTTCTATTTATTACACTTAGTGATCTTATCAATTTGACCTCTGGCCAGAAATAATTCTGGAACTTTCTCACACATTTAATAAAAATACACGAATGTGCTGCGGTCGAGTTGATGACTTCATCGAAAAGAAAATTTTCTTCACTGCAACCGTCTTTTTAATAATTCCTATGATCCAATGCGTATATATATTCCGTATTCAGAAAGTGGAACACACTGAAATATATTGTGCTAAAATCCCACAAACTGGAAGATATGCAGGCAAAAAGCAACAAGTTAGCAGAAGAAGCATCAAAGATAGGACGTCAGGTGAACATAGAGAAAACAGAGGTGATGAAAATTCCTGGACAAGAACAACAACAACAACATACAACGATCAGCCAGCATAAATGGGGGGAACGTGAAAGAAACAACCTCCTTTACCTACCTGGGAAGCATCGTCTCAACTACAGGCGGAACTGACGAGGATATCAAAGCAAGAATCGAAAAAAGCAAGACAAGCTTTCACTAGTCTCAAGTCTGTGTGGAGGTCAACAGCACTTAACATCAAAAATAACATCCAGATTTTCAACTGCAATGTAAAGTCAGTCAGTGCTACTTACTATACGGATCAGAGACTTGCACTGCGCGTCATAAAGAGCATCTCAAACAAACTACAGACCTTCATTAACAGTTGTCTTCGCTCAATACTCAAGATGAGATGGCCAGCCAGAAAAGATCAGCAACAGAGATCTCTAGCAATGAGCGAACCAACATAGCAGGAACCGTCTGTGAAACAAATATGCAGGAAGAAATGGAGATGGATTGACTGGCCATACTCTGAGGAAACCATCAAGTGACATCACTAGACAAGCCAGTGCTCGAGTGGAACCCGAAAGGGAAGCGGCGAGTTGGTCGTCAGTGCAAGGGTGACTTGGAGGAGGTCATGTGATGAGGAGATGAAAGCATGTGGGCAGACTTGGAGCCAGGTGAAGACTCTAGCAGAGAACAGAACGCAATGGAGACGCACGGCTGAAGCCCTATGTTCCTGTAGGAATTAAAGGATACAATAATAATATAATAATATAAAGCATTTTTAATAGGGACGGACATTGAAGGCCTACCTGACAGGCATCTTTCCCACCTTCTGCAAATCCTGCACATATTACATTATTCTGAATTGATACATAAACTGGATTAGGTCCATTTCGTAATGTTGCATAACTCATTGTACACTGATCATTTGGTACAATTGGTACAGAAACATGCTTTAATATTGTTGAGATATTTTGTGCACCTGTAAGGTAAAAGATAATTTCATCATTGATATATAAATGTATATCGTCAGTTATTATTGGTATAAAATACAGTAACCATATATTTACCTTCACCACAAACACACACACACACTGCTCATAAGTAAGGACATCCTGGGGATTTTATGAGAAGCTTCACCCATGAGGTTCATCAAGTCACATATGATGACATATACTAACCGATGACATCATTTGGCGTCGGTTGAACGACGGTAGAGTGCTCACTAACCACGCAGGTGGTTCGCGTTTCTATCCACGACCACGTAAGCACTCCCTTACCTCGTCCAGCGGGTAGGAGGACAAGTAAAGAGGGAAGGTTTGGCATGGGCCTAGCAACTTCATCCGTAAAAATAGACACCACTGCTACCGAAACTTCAAGCCACTAGCCTGGATCCCCTTTTGTTCCACTGGTAACGTAAAGGAATAAAAAAGTAGCTTTATGAACTGTTTGCGCTGACATTTATCTCTCTTCACAAAACACACATGCTAAATATGGTATGTTTGAATTTCTACATATTTATTAGCTGTAATGAGCGTAGATTTTAAAGAAATTGCTTCTAGTTTCACCTGAAATTGGATCAAAGACACACTACCTACCCTGCTAACAGCTTTCAAAGTTCTATGTAACCCGTAACATAATCCCTTCAGACAACCCCAGAAAGTAATAAAGAGGAATGAGCGGGATATATGAATTAATAAATTGTAAGAGCAGATATTGATTTACGCCAGAAAGTGTCAACTTCTCTAAGTAATAAGTCAAAAGAAACATTTTCTTAGAAGTGGAAAGGATATGAAGCACCTACCAAAGATAGAAACAGGAACTGATACCAAGACAGGGAATATCCGGTTTGTTTCCTAACACCCAATGCCGTTAATATTACTGGAATCATTGGAATGAATCGATACAGGCAAGTTCTGTTCCTATCTGAGGCTAAAATTAACAGTCTTACACTTATTGGGATTCAGTTTAGTATTATTTGAATAAGATGATTTTCCGCGCATCAAAATAAATCGTGTTTACTCTGTTCAATATTGTTTTAATGATTCATTTACAAGAATGAATCAAACTTTATATTCGCGCGCTATTTAAAATATGTTTCTGCCTATGGCTAGGAAATTTTTGAATGAGATGAAGGAAGAATATTGTGAACTGATACTGAAGAAAGCTTTGAGGGGTAACACTATTGCTTTAGGTAATATATTATCGATTATTATATTGTTTGAAGATTCCGCACAAGGAGTGAATACCTTGCAATGAAACTCGCTGAAAATGCTGTACTGTGTACAAAGGCATTGTCCAGAATACAGCAAAACAATAGAATGAAGAAACAAATAAGACATCATAATTTAATTTTTAATTTGGTTTACAGCTTGATTCCACACCGTATTTTTCAGTACAAGTGTGGAATTTTCAGCATGGATATCGGTAGCCAAAATTCAGGCCTACCATAGATATCGGGTGTGCGCCGGCAGGGGATCGAACCCCGGACCATGTGCATGGTCGGGGAGAGTCCTAACCACTGTGCCACCGACGCACATCATAATTAATGAAATTGTTATATGTGTCCAAACCAAGTTCACTTTTAAAGTTTGAAAAAATTTGGGCATTGGGTATATGTGATATTCATTATAATAAAGGTTTTCTTGCATTTCCCAATGAATGAAAAGCAAAACGATATTGATGTGTGTTTACTGACGTTTCGCTATTTAATGCTGCTGCTAATAGTTTTATCAAAGTAGTAATATTGAATATTTACAAAATCTCAGCTAATATATTTAAAAACTTAATCATCGTTCCTCAGTATGGGGTCATTTTCGCGTTGTCAAATTGGTCAATTGGTAAAGATAACAAAACCAGGTGTAGATTTTTGGATTTGATAGGCGTATACAATTATAAAAGCAGTGTGTGTTTACATAATAATAATAATAATTTGCTTTATTCCAAAACAGTACTTGTGATACAGAATGGAATTCTCAGCATTTTTAATACAGTATTGCATCCAGTTAGTACATTATCAATAAATAGAATTCTACATAGATTGAGGAAACCACAGTTCGTTATTACAACAATACATTGGCATGTTCAGTAGCAAAGGTAAAGCTGAAACAGTGTTTGAAGGTGTTAGAAAAGTGGGAGCTGTCTTATTAACTGGCTTAAGCGAAAGAAAGAGACAAAGCAGCACATAACGGAAAAAGAAGAGAGAGAAAAGAAACAGAAAGAAAGGAAATGTAGAACCTATTGATGAAGTGGGTTGGAAAGATGAGATCCAGTTGTACTAATGACTATTTAATGAATTATATGTGTCACGCCTAATGCTTTCTTTATCGAGGAGAACGCGAGCTAAGTAGGGTATGGTTGAGTTTTTGTACTTGCTGGTGCGAGCATATAGTTTTCTATATTGGCTTCTGGTTTTACCTGATGAGATGCAAGGGGAGAGTTGTGAGTGAAGAGGGTGGTGTGAGTTAGATAAAATGGACTTGGCCCATTTTTCACATGAGTCCATGTGCCTGTCAACCAAAATATTAACAAGCTGGTTAAGTGGCACGTTGCTTGCCCTGCTGACAACATTTAACATCCTGCGTAATATGTTATAGTCTTTCTTCAGTAGCCCAGGAAAAACTAAGGGGGAACAATAGAGAATAATAGGCAGGATGCGAGAATTAACGAATTGTAGGAGTAGGGGTTGGGTAATACCAGAATGTTTTAACTTCTTAATGTAGAAGGCAAGACGGAATATTTTCTTAGAAATTGCTAAGATATGAGACGACCAGGAGAGATCAGCAGATAGAATGACACCTAGGTATTTAATTTCCGATTTAGTTTCTATTTCAGTGCCGTCTATTTTGCATACCTCGTGAGAGCCAAACAGTTTGTTTAGGTCGGATTTATGCCTAAAGGTGAAATTGACTGTTTGGCATTTGGAAGGGTTTAGAGTAAGACCATTTTCCTTGGACCACTGGTTGATTTCTGACAGAAAGCCATTAAGTTTAGAGCAGTCGCTTTGACATTTGATAGGCAAAGATACAGACAGATCATCAGCGTATTTGACAAAATTAATGTCATTTGAAGATGGTAAGTTATGTAGAAAGAAGCAAAAGAGAATTGGGGAGAGTACAGCGCCTTGGGGGACTCCGGCTTCAGTGAGTGCAGCAGAGGATGATTTACCTTTGTATACGGTGTACTGCTTTCTGTTAGAGAAGTAGGAATGCAACCAGTTAGTGACCCAGGACTCAGTTTTCGTCAAAGAGAGCTTATTTAGAAGGAGACATCTAGGAACAGAGTCGAAAGCAGAAGTGAAGTCAAGAAACGTGCAGCGGACGTATTTAGCACCTTTATCTAATGATGAGACGATGTTGTTGTGTAAGACAGCTGCAGCTTCTAATGTACTCCTACCCTGTCTATAGGCAAATTGTTTTGGGTCTTCGAAGTTTTTAAGGGAGGGTTCGAGTTTAAGAAGTATTAGTTTTTCCATAACCTTTAGAAACGGGGAAGTGATGGCAATGGGTCTGAACTTTACGTTCTTGCCATTTCCAGGTTTAGGGACAGGGACAATTTTGATGTCTTTCCATGCATCAGGTACGATATTTTTGGAGAAAGAGGCATTTAGGATGTTGGTTAGTGGAGAACACAACACATCTGCACATTGTTTTAGAACATAGACAGGTATACCATCAGGACCTAGGCTACGTGAGGGCTTGAGAAATTGCTTATCAAATTCGTGTGCTATAATACTTCCACATAATGGAGGAACATCAGAAAACTTACGAAGAATTCTTACCAACACAGACGGGAATAAAATCTGCATTTAAACTGCCCACAAACTCAATAAGAAACAAGTTTCGTCGGTTAAAGGATCAATCCTGTGGAGCCAATTAAACGTAACCTTGTCTAGAATGGTTGTCAGGTCAAATACATAGATGAATCAAAGTGCTAGAACAGGTACAGTCAGACTAGCCGAGCATAAAAACCTAGCAAAATCTAGATTAGTTGACCTCAATAAGATAAGAAATATGGTGAATAGCTCAGCTACCCTAGTCTCTTCACGCAATTACACGCAAACTCACATTAGGATGGGATAAGATGAGTTTTAAAATTGATAACAGAAGCATTAATTATCGAATCAACTGACAGGGAATACATGTATTAGGAATGATTCAACACCTGTCCAAAACGACGTCTGGAAAATTCTACCACCCTTACGATGACAAATAGGAATAAATAAAGAAAACTATCAAACTGAAGTTTTGCAGTCGTATAATTCTAATCGTATTGATCATGAACAATAACAAATTGTGTTCGAAACTTTATCATCCAGTAAATTCTACTGTTTAAGAATATGTGATATATCTGCCCTTTTTGGTACAAAAGAGCCTTAGTAAAGTGTCTCTTCAATAGAATCCAACGGAAATGCACTGAAGACACACTTGATGAAGAAGAAAGAAAGTTGACACAAACTGTGGTTGATAACAATTATCCAGACAAGTTCATCAGGAGAAATGAAGTAGTCAGAACGCCAAGACCCACTCTCCAACTCGTCTCTAAGAAAGACGTGTACATCAAACTACCCTATATAGGGCATCACAGCAGCTTGATAACTAGACAAAGATTGAACGCTGCTGTTAAAAAGACTTTTTATGCAGCTAAGATTATAATAATTGAGAATGTGAAGCCAATATATCCATCCGCCTAAGCCCTTTGAACATGCGAAAAATTATGTCAATTCCCACTTTATTTAACAATCTGGATGTATGTGTGGCCATATATGCATTGGAAGGACTCATCGATCTCCGCAAGTAAGAGCTGGTTTCAGAGCATATTCTTAAATGGCTCCAGAAGCAAATGGAATCCTCAGAAACCATTTTTGGTGAGAGTAGGAGACATATTATAGAAACCCGACATAAAATTGATATTTACACATCTTTTAAACCTATCTACACAAGGTGTTTGGGGCGTGTCCTAAAGTTTGTGGAAGCTCTAACTGGCAGTTAGGAAGTTCAAATCACCTTTATGCGTTCAAAGCAACAATTCGTCACCACACTAAAACTTCCTCGGTAAACTTCGTTTTGAAACCAGCCACGGTAGATGTATTATTACCTCTGTTATTTGGTTTAGTGATCTTCATTGTTATTTTGACCATCAATATGTCATTTTCTTGCCTCTTAACTCTTTATTAATTTCATATATACACAATCGTATGGCAAGTTCGTGAAATGTGATCAGATTATTTGAAACGTATTGCTCAAGTACAAGATACACGATTCAGACAAATTACGTTTTCTTATTGCTTTGCCTATATATCTAATAAACAAATTATTAAACTGAAATGGAGCTAATTTCTGATCACGAACTTAGACATAGGACAAAGCTGCCCATTGAGAAAACTGTTTTAGGAATTCAGTTATGCCTCATATCTACTGTCTTTACATTTCAGGGAAAAATAAAGAAACGGACAGAAGGTGTAGCAATGGGGTGGATCACCAATATCCCCTATGGTAGCAGATATATTTATGGATAGCTGGTAGGAAAAATATTGCTCCTCATACATTTAATCCTACTCCAAAAATATGGTGGAGGTATGTGGATGACACTTTCACAGTGTTAAAAACAGAACATATCTTTAGCTTCTCGACACATATAAACTCACTAGTAGAGGGAATAAAATTCACATTTGAATCAGAAAATGAACAAGGAGAATTAACTATGTTACACTGTAAAATAAAACGAAGGGATGAAGGTAAACTGCACACCAGTGTTTATAAAACAACCAACACATTCTAATATTGGATATTTAGACTTTAATTCATCTCATCCGTCGTCTGTAAAGGCTGGCTTAGTTAATTGTCTAACAAACCGAGCAGCAGCACTAAGTAGTACAAGAAAAAACCTAAATGATGAAATAAAGCAGATATAAGAAGCGTTGGTATCAAATAACTATCCCATAAAATTCATTAGGAATATCAGAAAAGGTCATAGGCAAAATAAAAATGGTGGGGGAAATAGTAATGATAACATAAATAAGGGAGAATATAAGGCATCTAGAGTAGTTTTACCATATAAGCAGGGGACATATCAGACCCTACGTATGATTCTCAACAAAGCAGCTATTAGGGTGGCATTCAAACGCAGAAACTCACTCTCTAAGTTAAAGTACCTTGTTATCCCAATTAGACAAATAATATAATTTACAGAATACCTTGCAATGACTGTGATGTCAACTACATAGGTCAAACTAGTAGGTCAGATTGTCAGAAAATCACACACCAGCAACCACACCGCATGCATTAACACACAACCACACAATAGGGTGGGAAAGGGTTAAAATTCTAAAAAGTAATATAGGTAGGTGGAGAGAGAGATTGATTACTGAATCCTGGTTTATTGAGTCTACACTCAACACATGTAACAGAAATGACTCAACGCAAATACCAGAGATATGGAAGATATTATTACCATCAGTCAGTCAAATCAGAGGAGGATAATAAATAATCTTAAAATTCAATTTCAATTCATGCACATCATAACATTCTAAGACGTTACTTATTTTAACTATAAAACACGTCTTATTTCCCATCTGACTGTCTATGATTAATAACACTAATATTATTGTTTCTGAATGCACAGTGTCTTATATTGATTTTATTCAATTTCACCCATGTATATGAATGCAATAAAACATTGTGAGAGTAGTGACTTGATATGATTATGAGCAGCAATAGTTTGTGCTTGAAACGTCGTCGTCAGTAAGTATGATTGTATAACGAACACTGTGTGATTTATCAAAATAAAATCTTATCCATACTTATATCAATTATTATAGATTTTTCGAAATTCTGGATAATGGCTTACCATGAACTTCATGTCCCCAACCAACACTGATACACTCTTTGCCCGGTTCATCAGCATTATCATTTCTCGACGGTAGACAAGCGATATTCACATACTTTGATAATATTACTGAATCTTTTAGCTGAATTAAAGCGATATCATGAGCACTACCAGTTGCTTCAGCTGTTAATTAGAACAAAGTGAAAAATGTTGAACGAATGAATGAATAAATAAACAAATAACTTTGAAAAGTTAGAGAGGTGCACACAGAAGTAAAGAAAAAAGTAAAGTCAACATTCATAGACGGTGATTATGAGTTCTACATTCAAGTGCATTAAACGCTCTCTTTATGCCGTTGATTTATACTTAGAATACTTCAGCTGAAGTATGATTCTCAGTAGCTGGTTTGGATGGATTAAATTTGTTTTTTACGAGTTTGACCACGGATTGATATCAGTTAGAGAACCATCGGGAACCAGCCAGGGAGTACTGAACAGCTTTTTTGTCCTAGTTTGGGAATCATCAGCAGCAATTACTCACCGCTAGGGCTCGAACTCAGAATCTTCCAGTTACAAGACATAATCGTACACAATTCAGCCACTGGAACCCGAATCAGTGGCCAACCCATGAATTCTAACTTCTAATAATTCATGATTTAGCGCGACCATCAACCAATGTCATCAGTGGGAAATCTATCCTCACACTTGACTGGTTGGACCTCATTGGTCACGACTTCTCATTAGAACTCCATGAAACTCTTTTCTGTAGCAAGTCACTAGCGATTATTATTATATTATATTATTGTATCCTTTAATTCCTACAGGAACATAGGGCTTCAGCCGTGCGTCTCCATTGCGTTCTGTTCTCTGCTAGAGTCTTCACCTGGCTCCAAGTCTGTCCACACGCTTTCGTCTCCTCTTCACATCACCTCCTCCAAGTCACCCTTGCACTGACGACCAACTCGCCGCTTCCCGTTCAGTCGAGTTCCACTCGAGCGATGGTTTGTCTAGTGATGTCACTTGATGGCTTGTTTCCTCAGACTATGGCCAATCCATCTCCGTTTCTTCCTGCCTATTTGTTTCACAATCGGTTCCTGGTTGGCTCGCTCGTAGAGATCTCTGTTGCTGATCTTTTCTGGCTGGCCATCTGATCTTGAGTGTTGAGCGAAGACAACTGTTAATGAAGGTCTGTATTTTGTTTGAGATGCTCTTTATGACGCGCCAAGTCACTAGCGAGCATCAGAACAATTTTCGTTAGTTGGTTTGTAAGGAATAGATTTGTGTTTACGAGTATGACCACGGATTAATATCAGTTAGAGAGACATTGAAAACCATTGAGGGAGTTCTGGACAGCTGTTTCATCCTAGTTTGGGAATCATCGGCAGTACGCACCCACACTACGGGGTACGAACCCAGGACCATGATTCGACAATGTGTTAATTTATAAACGATGTTCACATTTACGTGCATCTACTCTTACATATGCTTCTGTGGAGCTGATTACATTGGATGTTCTCTATGAATGCGTAACTGAGGACTACCCGGTTTGCTGATGAAGAAGTCTTCCTTCTGTGTATAACTTTAAACCGTCAGTTCATGCAGTTCCATATGATTTATCCTTTAAAGACATCTACAGGGCTAAGTCCAGTCATTTTAAAAGCTTATGTTGTCTACACTTATGTATAGCGGAAGCTCTATCTGTACATCGACAGAAACCTAAATTAAGTATTCCAGAACGTTCTGTTAAACTCCTTCCTTTACTTCTGGAATGCATCAAAGTGATTGAGTCAATGCTTACCAGGGCAGTGATAATTTAGTAAAAGTCTATTCTGCACAGGCGCACAATTCAGGTTTTAGTCTGCGAATGGTCACAGTTTCAGAGATTCGAAGTAGTCTTGTCTATTAAATTCTTTACAGGATTCTACTGCGTTGATTCAGTGCGCTTTCTCAGTCGGGGGCCAAGCTATGGAAATATTGAACAGACAAAGTACCTCAAAACTACTGTGAATCGCTGAAACTGTGACCATTAGCAGAATAAAACATGAATTGTATATGTGTGTGTGCAAAAGAGACTTTTACTAACTCATTACTACCCTGGTGGGTATTGACTCACTCACTTTAACTTGTTGAAACTTCGCTTTACTTTATTTTGTGTGTGTCATAACTCGATAAATGCATTTATCTGTTTCCTTGCTAATTCTTGATATCTTTATGTCATTGATCTCTTTCATTTCGGTGGAATAATTTTGAGCTATGACTAAGTAGTTGTCTCCACTTATGCTGGAATTACTATGAAAATTCGGGAATATTCTTCTACATAAAATATATTTAATGTCTCTGAATATGAATCTGATGAGCACTAGTGACTGACCGTATTCAGGTATGTAGTTACCTGGGTTCTAGTGAGAAGTAGAGACCAGCGGGCTACAGCAGGTCGGGAAGGAGGACTAATATTCGCCACCAATGACATTGGCTAGTGTCAGTCGCTCTACATCGTGCGTGAATTGGCAGAAGTTGGAATTCATGCGCTGGACATTGGATAGAGTCCCAGTGGCTTCGAATCATCGACGAGCTCTCCTTATAACCGGAAGGTCCTGCGTTCGAACCCTGGTTGTGGCTGCATACTACTGAAGAGTCCCAAACTAGGAAGGGACGGATATCCAGTTCTCCAAGGTTTTACAAAGGATCTCTAAATGATTTCAACTCATAATCATATCTGCAATCAATCGTATCCCTACAAACTAACAAGGTATTTTTACTCGCAACAAAAACGAACTGGTTATTCAGTTGAAAGTATTTTTAAGCTGTCATTTTACACTTATTGTTTATACACAGTTTATCATTCAGGACGTTAATTATTATTATTCCCTTGCGTTTCAAGTGGAACATACATCTCCATTTTGTTCTGTTTTCTGCTGTCTCCTTCAGATGGGTCCACGGTTGACCAAACTCTCTCATCTCTTCTCCACACAATCTCCTCCATGTCACCATCGTACTGACGACCCACTCGTTGCTTCTCACTGCGATTCCACTTGAACGATGATCTAAATTGCGTGCGACGTCATTCGGTATACTCCTCAATGTATGTCCGATCCATCTCCATTTTCTCATGCAAATTTGTTGAGAGATCGGCTCAATTATGTTGGTTTGTTCCCATAACCTTTTTGGTATTAATTCTTTCTGACCTGCCATTTGATCTTCAGTATGGAGCCAGCGAAGTGGGTAGCTGTTGGTAAAAGTAAGTAGTTGGCTGTTGGAAATCCTTTTCGTGACACGCAGAGCACGTTTCTGACCCGTATAGAACAACTGCCTTGACATTGGTGTTGAAAACCCGAATCTTCTTCTTCACGCTGGCTGACTGGGGAAGATTTTTAAACTGGTTTCAGGTTGACGAAGGCGTATCTTCCCTTTCCAATTCTGACTTTGACAACTTCGTCCGTCCCACCTGTAGTTGAGACGATGCTTCCTGGCCATATAAGTGAAGGAGGCAACCTCTGTTAAACCTCTCCCCTTGATGGCTGTAAATACGGTTGACGGAAATCCTACGAAATTAAATGAATCTAAATCATCCCCCAAAAGGTGTTCTTATCGCATTATTCAAACCGTATTATTTTACGAAACTTGCCAAGCAATTATACTGACTGAGAAATTAGTGAGTAAATGATTTGAAAATAAGCTTAACCTAGAATTCGCCTTCCTCTTTCAGCTAAGTCGAGCCCATTACTCGATTGCTGAGCACTCTTTGAATGAGTAAAGCGGTCATCTGGCGCTTGGATCACTTCGATCTGGCTAGCAAGCACTACTGCAAAATGTGACTGATAACAAACTACTCATGCCAAACAAATCAGTAGTTTATAGCTTAAAGCATATATGCTTGCTTCCTTGATTTCCATATACGAAATACGACGTAGATCATTTATAATAATATGAACTAATTTAGTTTCCAAATGAAAATTCTTTGAATTCTAATCTTGAACTGTGCAACTTGCAAAGATTTCCGACCCACAGACTGATAAACTGGTGCCCACTAATTCATTATTGCGTGAAAATAAAGTAGGTTATCCCTATTATTGCATTTTGTCCCTTTGTTTTCCGAGTGAAGCCTAAGGCTTCTAGCTTGAGCCCTGAATTTTCAGTAATGGAAGTGTTGCTGCTTTTACCAACTGAAGTTGCTAGTCAAATGTCGAATCTTCCCTCTTTACCAGGGCTAACTAACGGCTGAGCAAAGTTAAGATTGATTGAGTCAGCCGAAGATCGACCCCGGAGCATGTGGACGCTCAGTTATTACTCAACTATCGAACCACTGACGCATAAAGTTAACTATATGCTGCATCGCGAGCAGGATAAAACTATGCTCTGAAAGACCCCACTGGATTTTGAGTTCAGAGCACTAACCACTTGGCCATCGTAACACAGAATCAAAGATTACTGGTGAGCTCTTCTATTTTATTTTGAGACTATTTAACATGAGATATTCCGGTTACATAGCGAGTTCCATCTACTCTGATCCGACTCAGTATCCCATGAATTTCGACTTCTACCAATTCGTGATTTTGATCTGCAAGCTCGCCCTTTAACCGGAAGTTTCAGAGTTTGATTCACACTGGGTGCATACCAATGAAGAGTTCCAAAACCAGGATGAAACAGCTGTTCAGTACTCTCTGGGTTTGCCAACTGATGCCAGCTAGTGATCATACTTTAGACTATGATTGTGACAACTCCTCAGCATACGCCTTACAGCTGCTAGTGTGAAGCTAAAGAGGAAAATAAATTTGTTCCCAAAAGGAACTACCTATTTGATTGTTTTGACGGATGTCTAGATGGGGATGAATTCATGAATCGATGTTAATCCAATTAAGTGGGATAGAAATTCTAATCCATTACCTACGAGAACTACTTACTTTTATTTTACTTCCGCCCTTATTTTAGCAGATATATTAATGTCCAACCATGAAAGAACAAATTTGAAGCATGAAATCGTCGAAACAACTTTTTATTGTCAATATGTCGATGAAACATTTATAGTTTGCAACAATGAAAGTCATGCTTCCCGCCTACTCGGATTATTCAATGATGCACATACCAATATTGAATTTACTATGGAACATGAAAATGATGGAAAGTTCCACTTCCTCGACATTGTTATGCAAAGCCTTCAGAAGTCAATTTATCGAAAGCTTACACTGAAAGGACAATGCCTACATTTTAATGGTTTTTGTCCAAAAAGCTCTAAATGTGGACTAGTCAAGACTCTGTACTATACGGTGAGGAGATTATGCACTATAGAGAAATTATAGAAAGAATTTATGTCTCTCGAAAAGATTTTGAAGAGCAACGGTTACCCTCAGAAGTTCATTAACAAGTATGGAAGATCTGAAGACTCAAATGTCAAGCAAAATGTCACAGTGGAAAGAAAGCCCATCCACATTCAACTTCATTTTAAAGGTGAAAATATTACAGCAATTGTCAACAGAATATTGAGGACGTCACTATGCAGAGCTTTTATTGCAGCTAGCTAAGCTGGTTCCCGTCTATCGAACAACTTCCTATTTGGTGCAGTCAAAAATCGGCAGATATCATTCTCATGTAAACTCCAACTGTAAATACAAATTTACATGAATCTGTGGGAGCAGTTACATTGGAAGAACAAAAAGAAAAAGGGCATATCCACGACTTTCTGAACATGTACGAAGAAGCTTATGTCTGAAGATAACAAATGCTTTGAACAGTGCCATCGCCAGGCATCTCCTTCACACTGGTCATGAGGTAGACGTCACAAAATCTTTCAAAATTATCATTAGGCAAAAGAGTTCAATCCTACTCAAGTTTGCCGAAGCGATCTCTATCAAGTGAGTTCAGAAAGAAGCAGTTATCAGTCTTTCTTTGCCCTGGTAACTGGATATTTTCAGCTCTCTTTCGTCTGATTACGCAATACCTGAAGTTCCCATTCTGTATGATCATTATTGTTCGGGATAAGGTGTTTATTATTATTATATATGTTATTACTGCATGCATATATTGGTGGATTTTTGTTTACAAATGAACTCTGTGAAAGTATGTAAGCAGCCGATGAGAAGCCAACGAAATAAGCCATGATGGCACCATTTTATTCTGCAAAAATGTTATACTGATGAATAAGGACAGAAGGTCAGGTAGAGAGCGAGAGGGAAGCGTAGCAGCGAGAGACAAGCAAAATGGAGGCATAGATACACAGAGAAAGATACCGAAGAATCCATACAAAGAGAAAAACAAGGACAATTCACAACTTACAATCGTAATCAGGATGTACGTAGATTTTTTCGACTTCCATATCGTAATGTTCAACAGTTTCATTTAGCATATCATGTTCACCAATGCGTATAATCCAACTTGATGGATTCGTTGATAGATGAGGATAAATGTGATTCGGACTGAAAGTGAAAATAGATACAGTAATAACATGTATATATATGCCTAGCTGACTCGTAAAGTATTTCATTGATAATACTAGAAGTTACTGAACTGAAGAAAAAGCTTTTGACCCGACATCTTTATTAGATTTTCTTCTTATTACTTTCAAGAACATGGTTTTTTATACAGATTTTTCAAACGGTTAGATTAAACGTTAAGGAGTTATCCAAGCAATTCTCATTCAACTGCCGACTATGCCGAGTATGCCAACTGCCAGGTGATCCATAACAGAAAAGCGAACCATACCTTTAAATTGAAGACAAGAGAACGAGAAGGATGCCACCTAATATCACCGATGATATTCCTGATTGTGGTGGATTGAAGTATGCTTGAAGAGTGAGAAGACAGAAATATGCTGGGCCACCAATAAGAAGACTCTAGAAGTACTGGAATTTGAAGACAATTCATATCTAACATCATGTATGCTTGAAGACTTGCAGGCGAAAACCAACAAACTGGCAGTAGACACTGGCAGCGAAGATAGGGCGACTGGTGAGCATAGAGAAGATGGAGGTGATGAAGATGACCAACCAACAACCACCAACACCAACTGCTCTCAACGGGAGAAATTTGAAAGAGGTCACTCCCTTCACCTATCTGGCCAGGAAGCATCGTTTCAGCTACAGGCAACGGCATGGATTAGGATGTCGAAACCAGAATCGGAGAGGCAAAGAAGACTCTCATCATTCTAAAATCAGTGTGGAAATCTTCTGCACACAGCACAAGGAATAAAATTTGGATTTTCAGCACTGATGCTGAGTCAGCCACATCTTTTATATGCGTGAGAGACTTGACAAACGCGTCACTTCACTTCATATTTAAGATCAGATGTCCAGAAAGGGTTAGCAGCAAGAAACTCTTGGAAAGAAACAAGCGAAAACCTACTGCTAAAGAAATATGCGGAAGGAATTAGAGATGGATCGAACACATACTGAGAAGACTGTCAAATGACATCATGTGTCGAGCAAATCGTTGAGTTGAACCCGAATGAAAAGCGGTGATTTGAGCGTGTGTTCGAGTGTGACATGGAGGAGGTTATCTGAGGAGGAGATGGCTGTACTACGAGCAATCATGGTCCAGCTTAGAATGACAGCCAAGAATAGAATAAAGTGGAGACATACTGTTACGCGCAACTCGGAATCAAAGGAAGCAATAATAATAAAAAGATGATGTTGGTCGATGAGGGGATGTAGAATTAAATAATCCAGATCCCCACAAAATCTTTTAGTCTAAATATCAATCTCCAGCTCATCAATGACTATTGGAGTTGTACCGCTAAGTTTTGACGAGTGGCGTCCACCAGTTCGAAATGAATTGCATGCTCATCCTGGGTAATATTTACGCGTAGCGCTATTTCGCCGGCTGACAAAAATTGTAATACACTGGTCATTCTATCCCGGCCCAGACGACTGAAGGCTCAGCAAACTTTGTGTCGTAACCTGAAAGTCCCAGGTTTTATCTCTTGTGGGGTTGTAGGTGTACATAAATGTATTTTGAAAAAAAAACAATAGTCTGTGTATGGGAAGTTCATTTGAGCATGAACTGTTAAACAACTCCAGTTTCTCTTTTCTCCCATAATTACAGGTTTATGTTATTTCACTCCTTGCGTACACGTTTGAATTATCATCTCCTTTCTTAATTTTATGTATTTTCTTGCGTATTTCTTACACTACTTTTACAATATTCAGTAGTAAATGTTATTTCTGAAGACTTTTTCAAGTCGGATAGCGGACTGGTGTCAGCTAAACAAACACTAAAGACGGGGAATCACAGGGCAGCTATCATGTCCTAGTTTGAGACTGTTCAGTGATGCTCTCCCGCCAGCCCACCATTGGATCCTGCAGATTATTGTGCAAACAAGTTGATGATTCGGACACTGAGTGAGAATTCAGTTACTCGCTTATTCTAACCTCTGTCATTATTACTATTGCCATCGATGAGGATCGCCTTTGCTGTCATGTCCTGGACATCCAGTAATCAATGGAAGAATGATTTTCAGATCATGGGTTAGTGACATGATCCAGAAGGGATTTCATCTAAACTCCTCGGAAATCCTTCATCTGAATTGAAATTATTCGCTAGTAGCTTAATAAACCTAAATGCTTTAGTTGTATTTGCTCATTTATACTACTGTGAAGGGTTTCAGTAGTTCGCTGAAAAATAGTTATTTTAGTTTGACAGTAGAGTTATCAAAGATCAGTTCCATTTCCCGTTTATTGTTTATGTTGGACTCAAAAAGGTTGTTCCGTGTGACAAGCCGACTCCCAGTACAGACGATATCTGTACACTAATATGATGTTACTTCTGTGGATGATGACTGACAGAGAGTTACGAGACACGCGTTTCGTCTTATTCTAGACTCATCAACCAGATTTACATGTATCCTCAGAGAGTGATTATGTTCCCAATGTGACCCGAACCAAGTGCATAGCGCTTCTACGTTTCAAAAACAAGTACAGAGTTTCAATCTCTGCGGGAATAACAAAGCCACTGCTGGTGCAGCCACATTCAGATGACGAATCCAAAACAGGACGAAATGAGAATCCTGTGTTCAGCTGCTAGTTACCATCTGTCAGAATAACATTATGCTTTCGGTAGCGTGTAGTGTGAAGCTGAGAACTTGGTAAATTTATTTATTTATTTAAAACTGGCTCTTATAATCTAATCACTGATTGGTCAGTCTCTCTTCATTTCCATAATTCCTTGAAATTCGACTAAAGATGGCTAAGTTTCTTCTGTCAAGTGTACTGATATCTTCTCAGGGCGTATAATGACCCCAGACAGACTATAAAGTATTTTATAATCCAATATGGTTTCTAAATCTGCAGAGTACCACTGCCAGTATCGGAAAGAATGGTAGTACTCACATTCAGACAGAGTTGCCCTGAAAAGAGGACCAGTTTATCAAGCCACAATCATTATAGATATTCTAATCAGTAATTTGTAGATGCAAGAACGTATTGTTTTGCTTGCGTCGTTTACATAGCGGTAGAATGCTCGCTGACCACGCATGTCTTTCGGGGTTTGATCCACGGCCGCCAACGCACTCCTTTACCTCGCCAAGCCAGTAACAAGACCGATAAAGAGGGAAGGTTGGGCATGAGAGTAGCAACCACATTCCGCAAAAAAAAACGCCACTAGTAGTGAAATGTCAAGCGTCTAACTTGAAGCCCAATGTTCCACTGGGAGAGTAAAGGAATCGAAGAAAGCCTGTTTTGCTAATACACTCTTAGAAATGTTAAATATATGTGGCATTTTAAGATGTTTGGTGGATAAGCATGAGCACTGCAGTGGAGGATGCTCATTTCTCCCTGTTTGTGACTCGTCAACTGAATGTGCCTGCAATCCTCAGTGAGTAACGGTATTCTCACTGACAGTGGAACACAGGACACATCGTTTCAAACACCAGTGAGCAGTATAGATTCCTTCGTTATTCAGCATCTATCGAATATCGTCATGTTAATCTTCAGAAACTGTCGAAGCGACCGTACTAGGTGATGGCATGTGAATGAAGAAAAAACAAAATTGACACTTGATGCTACTTCCTTGTAGTCGTGTTTTCCACTGAAATTTATCTAATGAATTAGTAGGGCTTCATTTTAGCATATCGTTTATTTAAAAGCATGCCTAAATGGCACTTCTACTTAAACATGATACTTAAGTTTATTTGTACGCAGTTATCTGGAATACAACTTTCCTTCTACAAGGCTAAGTCACACTTATTGCATCTCGACTAATTATAGTACCTATTTATTGAGATTGAAGTAGATGTAGTCAAAATAGAACTTGCGACTTTTGACCTTTAAATCAAATCATTCAACTGTCTGTCTGTCTATCTTAAACAAAGAACTTTGCACTGGTGTGCAGCATTTGAATTTGCCACACTCCATGTAGTACACAATGCAAGATAAGAAAGTAGAAGAGATGCGGATAGAGAGAGAAAACGGAGATATGAAACAAAACGAATAGTAATAACGAAGAAGAATATAATTTCATTGGGTATGATAAGTCAAAAGGAGTGGATACATCTGCCCCAGCCATTAGGAACGATCATTTTGAGCCATATCACTGATTGTTTCCAGCCTTCATTGGTTTCTGCCGTCATGAGGACCCCAATGAGGAAGTCTACACCATCCTACGTGGCTAACTTAAACTAACTGTTGTAGGTTTTATTGACTGATGAAACCATGTTTTGGTTTGATCGTCAGTGACGCTTTTCCAACCTGACCCTATATCAGCTAACATTGCCCGTTGAGGAAGGTGATGACTAAGCATACGTAACGCATGTCCTAATCATCTCAATCGATGTAACTTCACAGCCTCGTCTATTGATTTCCCCTCTTTACCTAGCACTAGAAACCTAACCTCAACATTGCTCACCCTATTATACCATTTCACACGGGAGATAGAACGCAGGTACCTATGATCAAAGACAGCTAGGCATTTCATGTCTTCCACTCTCAATAGCCAGGTCTCACAGACATAAAGTAGGAAGGAGTGGATAGTTGAGCAGTACACACGTGCTTTGGTCGATAGCTGGACATCACGTCTACTAAGCCAGAGACGGCGTAAACTGGCACTTGCGAAACCAGCCTTCTGTATCCATGCTGAGATTTCGTCAGTGATCAACCCATCGGCACTGGCTGACGTGACTTCCCAAATGAGTGAAGTGGTCAACACTCTCCACCAATCACTTCATTCCCTGTTTCTAAGCTAAGTTTTAATTTAGTCCAGTTCATTCCTGTATCATCATCTTACATTTGACAGGGGGGTGAATCGCATGCTAAAGATTCGAAGATTGTTCCTCCTCAATGTGTTTAGAAGTCTCTGCATTTTGTCAGCGTCTTCACCTAGAAGCAGAACTATATCATCTGCATATTCTAAATCAACGAGATTATTCCCCGGTGGTAACAAGTCAATCCCTGTGTCTCTGAAGTTAGTTAGGGTTAAGTCCATTAGT